CTCTCTCTCTCTCTCTCTCTCTCTCTCTCTCTCTCTCTCTCTCTCTCTCTCTCTCTCTCTCTCTCTCTCTCTCTCTCTCTCTCTCTCTCTCTCTCTCTCTCTCTCTCTCTCTCTCTCTCTCTCTCTCTCTCTCTCTCTCTCTCTCTCTCTCTCTCTCTCTCTCTCTCTCTCTCTCTCTCTCTCTCTCTCTCTCTCTCTCTCTCTCTCTCTCTCTCTCTCTCTCTCTCTCTCTCTCTCTCTCTCTCTCTCTCTCTCTCTCTCTCTCTCTCTCTCTCTCTCTCTCTCTCTCTCTCTCTCTCTCTCTCTCTCTCTCTCTCTCTCTCTCTCTCTCTCTCTCTCTCTCTCTCTCTCTCTCTCTCTCTCTCTCTCTCTCTCTCTCTCTCTCTCTCTCTCTCTCTCTCTCTCTCTCTCTCTCTCTCTCTCTCTCTCTCTCTCTCTCTCTCTCTCTCTCTCTCTCTCTCTCTCTCTCTCTCTCTCTCTCTCTCTCTCTCTCTCTCTCTCTCTCTCTCTCTCTCTCTCTCTCTCTCTCTCTCTCTCTCTCTCTCTCTCTCTCTCTCTCTCTCTCTCTCTCTCTCTCTCTCTCTCTCTCTCTCTCTCTCTCTCTCTCTCTCTCTCTCTCTCTCTCTCTCTCTCTCTCTCTCTCTCTCTCTCTCTCTCTCTCTCTCTCTCTCTCTCTCTCTCTCTCTCTCTCTCTCTCTCTCTCTCTCTCTCTCTCTCTCTCTCTCTCTCTCTCTCTCTCTCTCTCTCTCTCTCTCTCTCTCTCTCTCTCTCTCTCTCTCTCTCTCTCTCTCTCTCTCTCTCTCTCTCTCTCTCTCTCTCTCTCTCTCTCTCTCTCTCTCTCTCTCTCTCTCTCTCTCTCTCTCTCTCTCTCTCTCTCTCTCTCTCTCTCTCTCTCTCTCTCTCTCTGCTCGTTCATTATTGTATTCTTTTATTCCCATTATTATATTCTTTTATTTGCTCAACTTTTATTCTTTCTATTCTCGTTTCCTTACATAAAAATAAATAAATGTATTTATTTATTTTTATTTTATACAGCATAAATGAGATATATAATACGTTATTTTTTTTTTATTTCACTATATGTAGTTAATACAATACATAATTACGTTTCACTATAGTTAAATACAACACGTGCACATACAAAAATACACACACACACGCACACGCACACATACATAATCCTTTTTTTATTTATAAAATATACAATATCTTATTTATGGTTTATAAAATAAAGATGAATAAATTAATTTATTATCATGCAAGAATAGAAGAATAGAAAGAATAAAAGTCGAACAAATAAAAGATTATAATAATGGGAATGAAAGAATACAATAAAGAACAAGCAGAGAGAGAGAGAGAGAGAGAACGAATGAGGAGCAAGCGAGATAGCTAACATGAAAGACTTCCAAAGTCTCGCTCGCGAGGCTCGCTTTATCTATAATCTCTCGCGTTATATATCGTTACTGTAAAATTTTTGTTTTTCGCGCTTATTGATCCGAAAATAATTACAATAAATTAATGATATTTTACCAATTAAAATGATACCAAACACGAAATCGGATAATTTTTAATCAATTATGTAATTAATATTATGATTACTATTTTATTAAAAATAATTCGATTTGTATCATATTTAGTGTCATTTTAATCGCAAAAATGTATTTAATCCATTACAATTATTTTCAGATATATAAAATGCGAAATATATAACTTTTATTTTCTATAGTAAGGTGACATATGTTACATCCTGGCGACTCCATGATTACTTCCTTCAAAAAGCCACTACACGTATCCACTGAACCTACTCTCCCTTCCTCGCCAAGATACTCCTCCCCCAGTTACTCCCCCATCTACTTCCCGGACTATATCACTCCAGCGACCGAATCTTTGCTTTCCCCACGTTCCTTCTCCTCACTATCCACCATCCTTTTGCACAATTCACCCCCATCTTCCTCGCAGTGTTCAGAAGCAGATTTCATAAAAGCTATAGAGGAGTTCTGCAATGAATTACCCGACTTAGAATCCGCTCATCCTACCAAGATTAAAGTAACTGAAATATCTCCCTTCATTCTCCCCCTCCATGACTCCATATTTCCTTTCTCACTCACACACACACACACACACACACACACACGTTGTTTGTTTTTTATTTATTTAATTAAATCATGACATTGTATCAC